GCGGTGCCACAGGTGCTGTCGCAGTCTGGGGAGGAGGACGCGGCAGAGACGCTGAGTCTAACGTAACAGGTTTCCCTTCCTCATTGCGGCTCTTCGACCTCTTCTTCCTGCGCCTTTTTCTAACCCGTTTGACCACCTCAGCGGTGGCTGGCGGAACGATGTGTGGCGCACCCACACACGGTGTGGCTGGCACGCTGACGGGCTCCATGTCCGGGTCGTCGACGCTAACCGTGTGGTCGGTTTGCGTAGCCTTTTCCGTAATCGTTTTCGGAATCGCTCCTTCCGGCGCCCGTGGATCATCCCCCATCTCCGATGGGGCTACCTGAGGGATCCTGGGCCGCAGAGACGCTCTCCTGCATTTTTCCTCATACAGGATCTCCTCTAGTCGCTTCGTGGCCGTTTGCACTTCTTTGTGCACGCCCATTCCTCGGCGTTTGTCGATAACTCCTTGCAGCACTGACACTTGCTCGCCTACCCTTTCGACCATGGCCGACGTGGCAGTCGCCTCATCCGCCGGGTCATGCCACCTCTTCCGACAAGGCTGCACAGAGCTCCTCAGCTCAGTGAGGGCCTGGCATGCGAGGGATATCTGCTGGATGAGATACTCCAGGTGGGTACCTGGGACCTCATTCATCAGTCTCCCCTCAACTTCCGCCGTCTTGCCAGGGCAACAACATGGTTGAGGACGACGTCGAACGTGGCCTCGTCGTCACTTTCGTATTCTTCCCCCAGAGGCGCCCTCCTTTTACCAGGATAACGCAATGGGGGAGAATTCTCCGGCAATGGGCTTAGCACCGGAGAGTTTGTCCGGTGGTGGGTCGATGTGCCTTCTCCAAGGGATGGCTCCGCCTTTCCACCACCTGGTCGGTCGCCCGTCCTCATCGCCTCGTCCTCGTCTTCTAACGCAGCAGCATCGGGAGACGACGATTTCTGATTCTTGTGCGCCTCACTATCAAGGCGTTCCGTGTAGTCCATGAAGTCCACGGCTTGTCGAAGCCCACGCCCCATGCTTCTTAGCACCCGGCTATCACTGCAGCGGAATAATAGCTCCGAAGAGACGAGCCGAGCCACGTCTATGAGGCGTTCCTCTGCGGCTTCCCCTCGGCGGCTGGAGATGCACTCGTCAATGAGTTCAGCCCTCTGGCTGGGATCATCGATACCCTCCAGACGGTCATACTCATTGACCCTTTCCGGAGCAAACGGACGCCCGTCGTCCAGGTCCCTCTGCATCATCCCTAATACAGTGGACACTGAACTCCGGAACGCCTCAGCCGTCCGGAACTGGCCACACGGAAAACAATCCGTTGTCAACTCCACAGCATCCATTCAATGGAGCCAGTCAACCCATCGAGTAAACTCCGATTGGGCCAGCGGCATATCGTCGCGGAAGCGATCACACACGCCTTCCCAATCGTCCACTATCTCCTCGGTGATAGTAAAACCACCAGCATTTACCTCAGTGACCCGAAGGTCACTGGAGGGTGCCTGCTTAGCACACCCTCCGACAGTTACCTGGGCGCGAACGCCCCCTGTACACTGCCTCACCAGTCCCACGGTTTCGATGTAGTCGCTAGATGACGACCGGGTCAAGCCTACAACAGCACTCTTCCCAGCCGGTCCTGAAGGATCCGAACCTTCTGGAACCGTAACGGTTTTTTTACACTGGTTTCCTTCCATGATTGGTTTTTACGGGTGTCCTTCCCTGCGTTTTACCTACCGCCAGGAGATTTGTTTTCGGTGTTACCTTCACCTAGGTGGTCGCCTTACCAGGCTATCGGGCCCACCCGCCCGTTGTGAAATTACCCTCGATCGCTACCGCTTATTCGTCCACTTTAAGAAGTGGCTTATATCACGGCTACTCTGCATATCTACAGGGTTAACGAGCGAACGAGGAGCTCATTGTCCGCGACCGCTTATTCGTCAGTCCAAATTAATGGACTGCTTATTTCGCGGCTAACCTGCATATCTGCAGGCCGTTCCTCTATCCGCAACCTGAGGACGCGCCCGATTCCCCGAGCTAGGGACACTGCGCTCGTGCCGACGTTTCGTAGCCCCGTAGAGCCCGATCATGCCGACACTGTAGCGCAGTGCAACGGGCCACGTTGTGAATCAGCTCTTGATTAATTTCGGGCTGATTCACAACGTGGTGGTGTGAGTTTTAAAGACGGCGTGGGCCGCCCTGAAGTAATACCTAACGGTAGTTCCAGGGCGGTCCACAGTTGCGCCGGTCGGAGAAAAAAAAAAAAAAAAGGATGTCCAGGCTCACCGCAACGCAGAAGCCCGGTCCGTTCTCGGCCCTGACGGCAAATGCTGGATGTGGGAGGCCGCGTCGTCCGTCGACCACCCNGAAGAAGACTACGATATCATTAGGGGCGGGACATCGTGCGGTACTTGCTGGACTTTGCACCGCGGAGTATAACGCGCGGTGACGGCTGATAAAGGTGGCACGAGTCGTGGGGCATCGTGTATAATGAAACGACGTGAGGCCGTGTCAATCACAATAAAAATTTGTTATATATATATATATATATAACTGATGACACGCGCGCGTCTACGGGTTGGAAAATATTGTTGTCTACGAGAGGTGAGCGGGGTGGGGCGAATGTGTTACGACAGTATAGTCTCAAGGTCATACACGACGGGATACGCGACATAATAACACGTGCCGCGTGGAGTTACAAACTTACAAACTACAAACAACAAACATACATGTGAAACTAATATAAGCGTGTTCAAAATCACTCTGTATACGGGCAGAAACTGAAAAGTGTTTTTTTTATAATATTTATTGATGGTTGAAATTTATTAATCTATACGAGTAGAGATTGTGTTTTAAAAAGTATAATAGCGTATTTTCTTTGGATATTTAAAATGATCAAGGTCAGAATCATACTTAAGGGTCATTGGTTGTATGTTCCACAGGTAGCATAGAACATATGAATTTTATAATATAAAAATCATTTTTCTTTCGTGTATCACATTAATAAAAAAAAATGTTTAATTTTTCCGTTGGATAACATAATCTGGCTTTTCTGGTGGTACAATTCTTAAATGGGGTTTGAACCCTTTAAATTTCATAATTAAAATGACCTCATCATTGTAGTTCTTTAAATTAATTAAGAGTACGTATATGTAGAGTTATGTTTAAAATGGAATATTTGTGTCCTATGCAAAATTTTTAACGATTTTTGTGTTCATAGCCTTAAGTAAAACAGTTAAAAAGATAATTCTTTATCACTACACTATGTATAGTATATGCTGTATTATATTTGGTTAATGTAGATAAAATCATAATTACCATTAGCAAAACAGTTGCTGAATTTTCTTGTTCAATAAAAGAATATTCATTGCTATTTTAATTAACCATAGAAAAATGATATTCACAATATGATAAGAACTCTTTTTGTCAAATTAAAAAATTACGACAGTAAGTTTTTATGAATAATTATAGCTAAAGAAAACGCTACTAAATAAATGTGTTTACGATAAACGAGTTTATCAAGTTGGACAACGTTTTTATGAAGATACTAATTGGTTACAATGTGTATGCAATTCAAACTTGAATGATAATATTTTAATTGACTAACACAATTAAAAAAGTCAATTTACGATTTTCAATGATTTTAAGTATATTAAACGACCAATTCTGTAAAAAATTTGATTGTAATTACGAATTGTTAAACATGAGAAGTATAAAGAAAAAAAACCCAGCACAAGGGGGTCGCGGCACAGTGGTGACGTGACATAGTTGGATCAAGTATAATGATATCTGATAGTGATTAAAATCACTATCAAAATAAAACGCTTCGATGCAAATCTTTAGATAGTGTTTAATTTTAAAAAATAGGTGTATTATTCCAAAAACTACATGATCTGCTAGTTCCTTATAAATATCCTGATTAAGATAAAGTATGTCGAATGAAAAAGATATTATAAAAAAATATAATTTTTTATAAAAAAATTGTGTTGATCCATAAACTTTTCAATAAGTTATAGCATTATAAAGTTAAATATAATATAAATAATAAAATCATGAATTTTCACACGAAAAAAGCATTCGGTAGCCATTTTCGCCATGAAGACAAGTCCAGAGGTCAAATTTTTTTTTTTTCATATTAAAGTATATTACATTAGCATTAATTTAAGATATATATAAAAGTGTCAGACCTTCCGGAACATTTTCAAAAGTTATGTTGAAAAAGTAAATTTGTTGTGAAAAAGTTGTCATTTTAAATCCCCCCTTGTGCCAGGTTAAGGATTAAATTTATGAAAAAAATATACCAAACGATAGGTTATGATATTACACATCTATATAAAAAAAAATTATATTGATATGTTCATTTTTGAAAAAGTTAGAGCATTATTAAGTTAAAAATATAAAAAAAAATTATTTTACAAAAATCGTAATTTTTTATTAACTTTGATGTCAACTTTCACCACGAAGACAAGTCCAGAGGTCAAATTTTTTTTTTTCAAATTAAAGTATATTACATAAGCTTCAATTTAAGATATATATAAAAGTGTCAGACCTTCCGGAACATTTTCAAAAGTTAAGTTGAAAAAGTTCTACTTTCTATATGCATTTTTTATATTTGAAGCCCCCCCATATATAGGGAAATAGTCTGATTTAAAAAAAAAGTATATCCAATGAAAGATGTATATAAATACTACTTCTCATGAAAAAATTGTATTGATCCATACATTTTTTAAAAAGTTATAGCACTTTAAAGTAAAAAATGTAAATTATAAAATCGAAAATTTTCACACAAAAATAGCATTCGGTAGCCGTTTCACCATAAAGTAATAGAATTAGGAAAAATTGTTGAATGTAATAAATACCTGTCCACCACAAGTAGGATGTGATGAAATAGACAAGGAATTATTTTGGAGAGAGATGGATGAGGTGATGCAAGGAATACCTGGCAATCAGGATGTGGTGATTCATGGAGATATGAATATTGGTAATGAGAGGAGAGTATCGATTGAATGGTGCAGCAATGCAAAAAGAACAGATAAACATGTATTCGTTTTATATGAATAAGAACTCATAAGTTATTACAAAAATTAAGTAAATAAATCTTAATTTACGTAGTCGTATTAACAAATTTTAAAATATATTTAAATAATATTAATAATCTAATAAGTTAATATTAGCCAAATGCGATGACTTATTTTCTTCTTTTTATACAAGTAACTAAGGGAGGTACTTGACATGAACAAGTAGTTTTGTATGCATCGTCGTTTAAATGACTGTCAAAAGTGACTTTTTGTCCTAATGCCACCTCAGTATCTCCATAACTACATTTTAAACCACTTGAATTTTTGGTATTCCAATTTTCTAATTTAGCGGTATCGTATAAAGCTGCAAAATATTTTAATTGAAAAAAATGTTCAATATTCTTAATACAATAACTTACAGCTCAGCCATTCGATTGGACAACTATCTGTATTTTCAAAGAAAACAGGAGCATTTTTAGCTTTGATATTATCCATGTACAGTATTTCGTAATTACATCTTACTCTTCTACAGAAACGATTATCAATTTTACCTAAACGAATGTTTATATTGAGATAAAAATAAATAAATGGTTTAATATATAATATTTAAATGACAACATCAAAGAAGATTTCATAAGTTACCTTTCAAGATTTGTATATAATTTACTTTTTATACCTACGAATAAAAAACTTACCATCAAATTTTGGAGAACAGACACATTCCATCCAATCATTATCAGCATAGAAGCGTTGTCCCTCATTATACGTCTTACCATCATAAGTACACTGATATGCTTTAGATTTCTCATTAGCTACACAAAATACAATATAGATTTAATTAAAATTAAAAATATTCTTGTAAGTAATCATTATAAGAAAATTTTAAAAAAACTTCATCATCTAATTGATATGAAAAAAATTTGCATGTAGAGAAACGGAGATGGACAGAAAATCATAGAGAGTACAAGCAGTTCGAAGTATATTATATAATTACAAAAGTGGGGGTAATAGATCACAGATTGATTATCTTGTGTGGAAGATAGAAAGCGTACAACAAGTAAATGATTGTAAAGTTATACTAAGCGAGAGTGTAACTTCACAACATAGACTGATAGTAATGGAGTTGTGGTGTAGTGGAAGAGAGTATTACAAAAACTGAAATAACATAGAAAGAAAATCGAGGTTCCGGTGGTGGTAATTGAAAAGAGAAAATGAAAAAGAATTATTAAAGACGTTAAAATAGAGGATGGTGTGGAAAGTTAAGAAGGTTAAAAGTTAAGTTAAGATGTTAAAAATTCTACTCAATTGAACATATTATAAAATTTGATTATAATTGTAAAAATCCATTGTTAAATTCAGATGAAACTAAAAATAATTTTTTTAGAAAATATTTATGCAGTAACATGTTTTCAAAAAATTTAAAATATTCTATTTAAAAAAAAGTATGTCGAATGAAAGAGTATAATGAAAATTGAAATAGTATTTCTCATTTAAAAATTGTATTGATCCATACATTTTTAAAAAAAGTTATAAAGAAATCGGTTCGGTGAGAGCTCAGAAAAAGTGGTAACAGACACAAAAAAAAAAACCCAGCACAGTGGGGTCGCGGCATAGTGGGGATGTTGCATAGTTGGGTCCAGTATAGATTTAATCTGACAGTGATTAAAATCACTATCATAAGAAACGCTTCGATGCAAATCAGTAGATAGTGTTTAATTCTAAGAAATTGGTGGATAATTACAAAAGCTACATTATCTGCTAGTTTCTTATTAATACCCTGATTAAGATAAAGTATGTCGAATGAAAAAGGGATTATTAAAAAATATTATTTCTCATAAAAAAATTGTGTTGATTCGTACACTTTTCAATGAGTTATAGCATTATAAAGTTAAAAATGTAACCAACCCAACCCAACATCAACTCCTATTTCCTTAATTATATCCAGATTAGTAATTATTTTAATTATATATTATATAATTTTTATAATTAATTATTTTCAAATTATTATTGATTTTTAATATGTTAAAAGTAATCATTTTGAACCTACTTCTTTTTGTTCTTTAAAGTGAAAGTTTTAATAAAAAAAAAATGAATTTATTACCATAACTTTTAACTCAACTTGCAAGTTTGAAATAAATATTATTAAATAGAAAAAAATGAAATTGGTAGATTATTTCAAAAACAACAATAACACTTATTCCCTTAATTTTACCCCGATTTATAACTATAATATATGAATACATAATAATTACAGTAATTAAATTGAGTATGAAAGTGGTATTCAATAATATAATATTGTAATTTTTACGGAGATATTATAAAAATAAAAAGGAGTTGTATATTCATATACTTTTAATGCGTATACAAATTTAAAGGAATTTATGCAATACTTTTTAATAAAAAAATTTTGTTACTTATGAATAAATACACTAAACAAAAGGAACTTTCATCAGAAAAAAAATATACTTTTCTAAATAAACTTTTCGTGATGTTTTCAAATGTGCAATTAAACTTTTTCTATTACTTCTAAGTTTTAATATTATTACTTATTATTAAAAAATAAGTATTTACATATAAAAAAAAATAATTAAGAACAAAAAAAATTGTATTAAATTAATACTGATTTTGATTTTTAATATGTTAAAGGTAATCATTTTGAACCTATTTTTTATTGTCTTTTAAAGTGAAAGTTTTAATGAAAAATACCTTCTCAGCTTCGCATCGAAGCTAAAAAATGAATTTGTTACCATAACTTATAGTTCAACTTGCAAGTTTGAAATTGACATTATTAAATTGAAAAAAATGAAATTTTTAAGATTAATATGCAATCTGGAAATTTTATAATTACTAATTACAGTACATTTGTCAGAAAAATTCGATTTTTTTACATTTTTATCGTAATAGATAACTGAAATAGAAAGAATAGTAATCATATCCTAATAACTTTTGGTGTTTAAAAAAATTCTGCAATTGAAATATTCAGAACTTAATTAATTTTAATAATTTACTTTAATTAAATGAACCAATCAAACCAAAGTAGTTAAAAAGATTTACTCAATTGAGCATATTATCAAAAATATAATTATAATTGTAAAACTCCATCGTTAACTTCAGGTGAAACTAAAAATCATTTTTTTTTTAAATTTATGATTTATATAGCAAAATATTACTAAAAAATTTGGCATATTATAGACTGGTAGTAGCACACAGAAATAGAGTTAAAAAATTAATAAATTATAAAGTAAAATTATTTACTTTTGTAGTTGAATACTTTTATCATATCAAATTTAATTCGACAATAAATAATTTAAGAATATTAAAAATTAATGATTTTAATTGTTTGTATGGACAAATCTAGTTAAGCTACTTTTTATTTGAATAAGGAATATTTTTTTGATTTTTAAGAGTAATAACTTAAACTAATCATTAACTTAAATATCATAAACTTAAATGAATCATTTGACGTATCGTTGAAAAAAGTAGGTCTAGTGAGGGTTGGCAAAATAAATCGTAGCCAGAAAAAGAACCACATAGTAAAATAATATTAACATGAATATCAATTTCTTCTCACGAGGGGAGACTATAGTGATAAGATCCTTTATATTTATTGAAATTATTGAATCTAAATGAGATAAATATCAAATGATTTGAAAATTCTATTCTAACTCAAAAAAAAAATGCAAAATTTTAGAAGCCACAAACGGATTTGAACCTCGTACCCTAGGCGTTAAAGATCAAGGTGTTACCCATTCGGCAACTATTCGTTGATTTTTGTTGCATGATAAAATTGGCTATTTAAGCTAACTCAAATTTAAAAATTACTTTTTCGACTTTAAAAAAGTAAAAAATGTTAATAAGTATAATATCATATGTCTTATGAACTTTATTCTATGTCAATGAAATTATATAATATTCATGAAAGTCAGTTTATTCCCCTAATAAAATATTTTAAAATAAAATAAAATACAAAACCTAGAATTTTAATAAAAAATAGCATATTTTTAAATACGGTAGCCTTTTGCGCATAGAAGATAGGTCGTCGGGACAAATTTTTTTTTTTCATTTAGTAGTACATAAAATAAGCTTTAATTTGATATATGTTTAAAGGACGCAGTATTTCCGGAACATTTTCAAAAATTAAGTTGAAAAAGTTAGTTTTTGTAAAAAAGTTGCTATTTTAAATCCCCCCTGTGAGCAGAATAAGTGTTAGATTTTCAAAAAAAAATGATATCAAATGAAAGAAAATTACCTAAGGTTTCAATATAAAGAAATATTATTTTGATTAGTTAATATTTGAAAAAGTTATGGCAGTTTTAAGTACAAAAAACATCGTTATAAAAGGTGATTTTTATCGCAAATATTACATTTTTTTTATAATTTCGACAGCCATTTGCACATAGAAGATAAGGTGTCGGGACAAATTTTTTTTTTTCATTTTATAGTACATAAAAAAAGCTTTAATTTGATATATGTTTAAAGGACGCAGTATTTCCGGAACATTTTCAAAAGTTCAGTTGAAAAAGTTCTATTTTTTATACAATGTTTCAAAGTTTGAACCCCCCCTATATAAGGGGAAATTGTCTAATTTTAATAAAAAGTATGTCAAATGGAAGATGTACTTATAATGTATTTAGAAAAAAAAAAATTGTGCTGATACATGCATTTTTCGAAAAGTTATAGCATTTTTAAGTTGAAAATTAAAAATTGAAAATCGAAAATTTTAACACAAAAATAGTGTTTTTTTAACTACGGCAACCGTTTACATGCAGAAGATAAAGTGTCGGGACAAATTTTTTTTTTTCATTTTATAGTACATAAAATAAGCTTTAATTTGATATATGTTTAAAGGACGCAGTATTTCCGGAACATTTTCAAAAATTAAGTTGAAAAAGTTAGTTTTTGTAAAAAAGTTGCAATTTTAAATCCCCCCCCATGAGCAGGTTAAGTGTTAAATTTTCAAAAAAATTATATCAAATGAAAGGAAAATATCTAAGGTTTTAGTTTAAAAAAAAATTATGTTGATTTGTTGATTTTTGAAAAAGTTATGGAAGTTTTAAGAAAAAAAAGTGAAAAAAATGACAAAATTTGTCGATTTTTAAATTTGTAATTTTTTTGGATATTTCCCCCATTTGCGGGGAACGAGGGAAAATTTTTAAATTTTTAAGGGTAATGTCTTCAACTAGATACAATTTGTGATCTTTTGACGTATTGTTAAAAGAAATCGGTCCAGTGAGAGCTGAGAAAAAGTAGTGACAGACACAAAAAAAAAAAAAATAAACACATCATGGTAAAATTAATACCTTCTCAGCTTCGCATCGAAGCTAAAAAATACACATCATAATAAAACCAATACCTTCTCAGCTTCACATCGAAGCTAACAAACACACAAATATAAACAAATTTATTAATTATTATTATTTTTTTTTAATTTATTTATAGGATTCAAATATTAATTCTTTAGTCTATTTAAATTTATATCGTGTTTGGTTAATACAAAAAATTTAAAAAACATAGTTACAATGAGGGAATTTTTTTCAATTTTTGAGGGTCATGTATTCGACTAAAACCAATTTGTGATCTTTTGACGTATTATTCATCTTAATCGGTCCAGTGAGAGCTGAGAATAAGTGGTAACAGACACAAAACAAACATTTTAGTAAAATTATAACCTTCTCTGCTTTGCATCGAATCTAAAATAATTCATAATTGTCTAAATATGAGATGATTACACAAAAAATCGTATTTTTTCCTTCAACTTCTATATGCATTTACATGTAGAGATGATGGACTATGATGTTTTAATAAATCTAAACTTTGATCTATTGAATATATACTGAACTTATTATGGCTAAAAAAAGAACACATCTAAAGTAATAAAAACATCGTTTTGATCCATTCATTTTTTCAAAAAGTTATAACAGTTATAAGTAAAACAATGTTTGATAAATTATGAAAACTAACGATTTCAAAAATGTTAATATTTTTGGAGGCTTTCCATTCACAAGAAACAAAGGAAATGTTTTTAAATTTTAAGGATAATGTCTTCATTTGAAAAAACTTGTGTTATTTTGACGGTTTGTTGAATAAAATTAGTTTAATTGACAATTAGTTATCCAGTTAACACTGAAGTTATAAACGATACTATCAATATATCGTATTAGTTTTTATATTATTTTAAGGACACTTCACTTACGGCCATGACATATTTGGTTTACTTCGCAGCACAAATCTTTTTCGTATTGATAATAACAGTTATCCTCAATGATATTGAAGGATGACGGACATTCAACGTTGGCACATACAAAATGTGTAATTGAGTGGCTATATCGTACAAACAATAAAAGTATTGTAATTTTAAGAATGAAAAATGGGGATAACATTACTTATAGTACTCGACTTTGTTACAAGTACATGATGCTAGACAAGGACTTAGCGCAGAATCCTTTTCAGAAAGTTTCGCCGAAGGTTCGTATACATTTCCGTTAAAATAGCACTTATTTATTGATCTTGAAAAAACAGACTCTACAATTAATTAGATGGAATAATTGTTTTCAAGTAATAGTTAAAAATTACACAAATATAATTTGTTGAAAGCACAATTTTGTAGAGTATACATTTATATAGTGGATGTGTTAATTACATACAAATGAGGATATCTTTAAATAAATAATTCATCACTTATACTGTAACAGTACGTATCTCAAAATAAGATGAATAATATACTTTATGAGATTTTTAAATAATAATGATAATAATAATAATAATGATAAAAGAAGTTTTTTGGAACATTTTTTTTTTAAATTTTTATGTGAAATTCATAGTTCTATTGATAGTTATGAAAATTAAATCACCTCTTGTATCAAATCATTAATAATTCAAATGTATTTTTTGATCATCTTGAAAACCTAGAAAAACTTAGATAGGTTTTTGTTTAAGTATAATTGACGAAATATTAAATATTACCATATTATTATTTGGATATTGATATTTTTTTTAGACAGTATTTGAAAATATTTTTACTAAAATTAGATAAATAATGAAAAAATCTTATACAATTATACTAGTATGAATTTTTAGTATTCAAAAATATTGACGGTTATTAAGTTATTTTGTACAAGTTACTAACCACAATCATATGCAATGGGACATTTATTTGCAGTATATTTTTCATCATAAATCGGTTTACAACCTATTTCTGTGTATATCTGTTTGTGGCTATCACAACCTAAAATTAAATAATTGGTTATTAGTATTTAAAAATATTTCATATAACAATCAAAACATTTTTGAATAATTTACCACTAGTATAGCTCAAGTAAAATATCACAATTGTTAATTTGAAAATAATTTGTGAATTATTAATCATGATTAATAAATAAATTAATGAACTTTCAAGTAAATCGATTTAAACGACAAGATATCAAATCACACACTGAATAGTGTCTTTTATTAAATCTGTTAATTTGATTAGTAACACTAATCAAAACCAGTTATTTGGCATTCCACCATTTTAATCGAAGGACTGAAAAAAGAAGACAAACTAGTGCTGCAATGGTTTAATTCTTATTTATTTATTAAAAATTTGAAATCAGTTGTTTCATTTGCATACAAGTATTAGCCATATATTGTATTCTGTATAGTGATTATTTATTTTGTTATAAAATTTGGGATGCTAAACAAATAGTATAAAAAATTTTATGACGTCTTCTAAAATTGTATAACTAAAAAACTTTTATTTTGATTTAGGAAATATTAACCTTCTCATATTTATGCGAAATTACCAGAGGAATAGAAACGTATAATACTTATGAAATCGCCTTCAAAACTCAAATCGTAATCAAGGTTCGCTTAAGATTTATGTATACATAAAAATTGTCAATGTTTATTATTTTAAAAAATTATACACTTAATGTAGATACCACGTAGAACTTAATAAATAAGTGAATGATAAAGCGCATCGAAACAATTTTCTGCTTTAAATTTTTATAAAGTAAAATTTGTGTAAAGATTCATACTCATATGAATGATAGAGAGTACCTTTTTTATAACTAGATTCCAGATAACGCTTTTACAAGGATGAATTTAGGAGAAGAGTAGGATAGGATACTCTACGCAATAGCAATCAATATCTTCTACTCAAAAAACATTTCTGAAAATTAATAAAATCTGGTCATTTAACTACAAAAAATGAACGTGCTCATGCATTTATATATATATAAAGTGTTCAGTAAATATGGAAACGGATTTCTATTATTCTCATTGTTTTGTAACAATTGACCTATTTCTTTACTTGCTGAACATTATGTATAAATGTCTGTGTTTGTATGTGTATAATCGGTTTATTATAAACCACTAGATTACTCACAACATAGATCCTATAGTCGGAAAAAATGTTTGATTTCTTTTAGTTGTTTATATATTTCTTGATTTATCAGCTAATAATTAATTTTTAGAATTATACATTGCAAGCGTGGATGATCGTGTCAAGTGGAAGTTTAAGATGAGAGTGGCCGGCCGGCCCCAAGTAGTTGGGATTGAGGTTGGATTTATGGGTCCAAATATCAGTGCTGCTTTTTCCATATCGCCATTCATAGGCCAGCAATCCTATAGAAAATGCTGAAAGTTAACTGCTTCTCTTGGTTCAATATGATCTCCCTTTTTCTCATCATTTTCTCTACTATTATATTAAATAAGATTGATGAAATAGCAATCCCCTGTCTTCATATCAACTTAATGGGGTGTTAATTTAAAATATGTTTTTCATATAGTTTGAAAATAATCGTCGCAAATAGTGTTTTGAACTTAAGGGTGTTCTATTTCCGAAGACTAAAATATTTTTTTCTTACGCTCAAACTAATGTACTTATTTTTGGCTATTGAATGATGTTACCTGCCTATGTAAGATTAGAAATAAATTGTATAGATATTAAAAATTTTACTAATAATACAATATAATATATCCAATATTATTAAATGAAAAAAAAACACTTTTTAACAATTGTTATTAGAACAATTCCAACTTGTATCGATTTTTTATCCACAACCTTAAAACATAATGATGAACAAGCAGCATAAAACTAAATGATAGATAAATTAAACAAAAAAGTATAGTACTCTTATTAAAAAAAAAATTCAGTTTGGCAATGTCAATATGTTTAAGTGTCTATGAATAAATGTAAAAAAATTATGTAGTATATATTATAGATACGTTTTTTATTAAAAACATTGTATGGGTCAAAGAATCGAACCCATGGCCACTCACACAAGAAATTGCTTACGGGAATGAAACTTATTTTAGCAAATAATTTTTTCTAATATGTATACAATAAAAAAAACCCAGCACAAGGAGGTCGCGACACAGTGGTGATGTGGCATAGATGGATCAAGTATAATGATATCTGACAGTGATTAAAATCACTATAAAAAAAAAACGCTTCGATGCAAATCTTTAGATAGTGTTTAATTTTAAAAAATTGGTGGATTATTCCGAAAGCTACATGATCTGCTAGTTTATTAATAATACCCTAATTAAGATAAAGTATGTCGAATGAAAAAGGGAATATTAAAATATTATTTCTCATAAAAAAATTGTATTGATTCATACACTTTTCAATTAGTCATAGCATTATAAGGTTAAAAATGTAAAAAATAAATTCGAGAATTTTCACACAATAATAGCATTTAGTAGCCATTTTCACCGTGAAAATAAAATAAAGTCCGAATTTTTGCTTCGATGCGAAGCTGAGAAGGTATTGGTTTTACTAAGATGTGTTTTTTTTTTTT